TTTTACCAAGCAATAGATTTTTAATGACTCAGTGGAAAACACAGTAATTTTCAATACATAGTAGTTTATCTGTTTTTCATACACGTATTGATTTTTAAATAGTGGATACTATAAGTACATCATACAATGCACTGTGTTTCAAAAGACAAAAATACCAATGATTACGCAATAAAGAAACATCAATAAACACTATTTGAAAAAGACAGTTTGTCTATTCAGGCCTAGTAAGCCTAGACCTGTAATTTGGATTTTCTATAATGTTAGATAACTGTTTTCAAACCTATCTGTAGAGTGTTAAAAACAAATTCCTTAGTTTTACTAGTACTCTTTCCCATTGTAGGGCTTTTGAAAGAGTGAAACAAATGACTCTCACCCAACTGGAAAATTATTACTATGTAACAATACTGTGAGACTACGGCTACAATGTAAAACAAAATATTGGAGTGGCTGTTTCAGAAGAAATGACCAAGGAAATATGGTCCTCTGCTTTTATTAAAAAAAAAAATCACACATTTGAAGTATTTTGGAACAAAAACTACTTCAATGACTGATCTAACAATACCTTTGTTTTACAAAGAGAAATCCTCAAGCTAGACAAGTGAAAAGAAATGACCAAAGTTACAATTAGTTGATGGCAAAAATCAAGATTAATTAATATCCAGGTCTCTTAATTCCCAATGTAGTATGTTCTTTTTGACATGCCACATTTTATGATTTCTGCTAGTTTTGATAAATTGAGTTGATAAAATGAAGAAAGCAGGCAAAGAAAAATTACAGCCTAGTGTTACAGGTTGTATGTAATATTACCGATTTGTAAGGCAGTGAAGTATAATGAAAAACACTAATGAACATGGATTCAAAATACCAAATTGGAGTGTATCACTTCTCAACTTACATGCCCTTAACATCTCCAGGCACTGTTTAAACTGTAAAATGTTATCTGAATGTCAGTTAATGTTGCCCCTAAGACTTTTTTTTAACATCAGGCTTTTTAATAAACTCAAATAAGAATTTTCCTTCAACAGTATTACACCCTCCTAATGGAGCTACTAAGAGCATGACAAAGTGGAGAAGCTTACTAAAAACAGTCTAAATTTGGATTTAAGGACTAGCCTGGATGTTTAAACACTAATCTCACTGACCGTTATAAGTTACGGCACTTAAAATGAGGGACAGATTCATTCTCTTGATAGCAAATACAAAATAAAGTATACTGGATGAAGAACTTCAGGGAAGCTCTTTTCCACACATTCTATGGGCTTTTTGCTAAGTAATGCTAAAAACAGAGCAGGGTAACAGAGTAACAGAATAAAAAAATATTTGAATAACGAATTTCAATTAAGTGACTAATACAATTCAGCATACTCTATGTTAACCTGTAAGGGTTACTATTGTATAGATTCGATGCCAAAATGATACAGCAAGAACAACATGAATTTTTACATCTCTAGATCTCTCCAACTCTTTATTCAATAGTCATGTACTTTTGGCTGTTCTACAGGACACTACGTATCTGCCTAACAGGTACTATCCCTTGGTTTTTACCTTAAATTTTTTTTTTCTACGACTCTATCCCCTACTGTGAAATTTAAAGTGTATGGCCTCCAGTTACAACATCCAAAAGCACACCACACAAAACATTCCCTATAAAAGGATTATGATGAATGAACTACAAAAAGATTGTAAGATCATAAGCTTCAGATAGGTATCTTCTCCAAGAAAGAGAAATCTGGCCAGGCACGGTGGCTCACACCAGTAATCCTAGCACTGTGGGAGGCCAGCCTGAGCAAGAGCAAGACCCCATCTCTACTAAAGACAGAAAACATTAGCCAAGTGTGGTGTCACATGCCTGTAGTCCCAGCTACCTGCGAGGCTGAGGTAGGAGGAACACTTGAGCCCAGGAGCTTGAGGTTGCAGTGAGCTACAATGATGCCACTGCATTCTACCTGGGTGACAGAGACTCTGTCTCAAAAAAAAAAAAAGAGTAAAAAAAAAAAAAAAATCACTTGATGTAAATGTTTTAGATATCCTGTTTTATTTACCTATATCTTTTATGGATAGAAAGTAACTATTTAAGATATTTTCAACAAATCAGCTATAAGTTATTATTTCATAAGAGGCCAAACAGTTTACTAATTGCCTCACTACTTATAAATTAGGTCAATAAAAAGGTAAATGGTTTTAATACTCAGATAGTCAAACTCATTAACACTTATCATTTCTAGCCATTCTCATTTGTATCCTGGCATGGAACACTTCACATCATACTAAAAGAATAGCTTTTGGTTTACAGGCAAACACTTTTAATTATGAACATTATACAAGGAGGGTTCCCCCCTTATTCTTATTTTACCTTCTCAGATCACATTTAGTAAGCTTTAGTTGCCAGCTACATAACAATCAAGATAAATAGAAATGCTTAATAAAGCAATAAATTTTCTTGTAAATGCCATCACTACAGATAAATTATAAATTAAAATAGAAGGCAATTATCAAAATAGGAAATAACTACGCAATTTTTAAAAACACAACGAGAATTCTTTCCAACAATTATTCAACCTAAAATGAATAGCAAAATGATAAAGAGCTATTATTGGAGCATCAAAAGGCTATCCCCCACTCAAATCTTCAGTATTTGGGGCTCCCTCTCAAGATTCCTGTTAACTGCTATGTGTCTATTCCGTAATGTTAATGAAATTCTGAACTTTTACAATAGTACTGAATATGAACCCACCATAAATTAACCTTACTGGGGCTCTCTACATTGGGGCAACACAATGTCCTATTAAATACCAAATAACACCTAGTATAATACTTTCTTTCATGATTAAATTAAGTATGAAGATTCTAAGGAGGCCAAGTCTTTGATTTTCTCCACTCCTCACCTGCAAAGTAACACTGTAGCTCTGAATTTAAACTTTCCCCAAACTCTTCCTATCTTGATCTTTGTGGATAAATTCAAATATTTTTTTCCCGTAAGCATAAAAAGAAATCAAGGAATAGACTAAACCGAAGACCCTTAGGTAAAATTTCCACCCCCTACACCTCGTTGGCGAGTTTCTTGACACTTGTGTCTCACCATCTTACAATTTCATCTTTCAAATGGAAATGAAAAAAAACACCGAGATGTACACTAAGCTGTGAGTGATCCCAGGTCAGCTTGATTCTCTGCCAGAAAAGGCCAGGTAACAGTTACACTACTTGCTGTATAAGTTTTTCTCTCTCTTACCCCCTCAACGAACCTTCCAATGTATTATTATACTATTGTAATTCATCGGTAGTTACAATACTCCATTTCCCGAAGGAATCCCTTCCCTACAAGGTGACAACTCTCTACAGGCGCTTTCACACCATCCATTCCTCAATTCCAGGACTCTAAACCACCCTCGTCAGAGGAGGAAAAGTTCCTAAGAGACAGGTTAACTGGAATGGATTTTCTGAAGTCTCTCAGACTTTCGTCCCAATCTCAAAGCATGCAGACATCTAAAGGTTCCCAGAAACAATGAGCTACAAAAGTACAGACTAAACGGGAAAGAAGAGGAAGTATCAGAACAATACCCAAACCAAACAGCACCGAAAACCCGTGGTGGCCTCTATCATCCTAGCGTGCCACCCTCACTTCCCTAGTTTAATCAATGTCTCAAACCCGGAGAAATGGCCCCCCAGTCCATTATTTCCCCCTCTACAGACAACAAACGCTTCACGAAGGTGGCAGAAAGAAACAAGCTTTGGTCGAAGGGAGCCGTGATGCTTTTACTGCCGGGTGGAAGGAGGCAAGCCAAGGGTTGTGTAAAGAATGGAAAGCTGAGTGATCCTGGGGGGAGGGGGGAATTAGGGCGCCAGAGCTAATCCTTCGCCGGGGCCCGCCGGTGGGAAGAGGCAGGAGGCGAACACTCGGGAGGACTAGGGAAGCCAGGCAACACGGGGCTTTCGGTTCTCGAGAAAGGGGAGAGAAATCTGGCAACCCCACCGGTGGGTGGGTGGCGGCGCCTGCAAGGGAGGAGGCTCCGTGCGGAGCGAACGTTTCGGGGTAAGAGAGCAAGACTGGCCTTCCTCACGCCGCCCGAGCCCCCCAAGCTCACACCTCAAACCTGCTCTTGGTCACTCCGTTCACGTCCCTCCTCATTGGGCCGGCGGGTGCGGCCCGGGCCGGGCGCTGCGGCGTGCGGAGTGCAAAGACAGGGGGACCTAGGCAGGCCCGGGAGTTCCGGGACTGGGAGGAGGCGGAGGAGGGGCAAGGCCGGGGCAGTCGGACACGGAGGAGAGACCTCTCAGCTCCACCGAGGCCTCCACCACCTCCCGCGGCGCCGGCGGCCGCGACGACTGCTCGTCGCTAGCTCGGCTCTCTCCCGAGCCTCAACTTCAACCCAAAACAAAAACACTCCCCACTTGCCAGCAACGGCGCTTCTCATTGGGCAGAGCCGCCCGGGCCTCGGAACGCCACGGGAGGGGGAAGGGAAGGGGGAAGAGAGGGAGGAGAGGGAGAGGGGGAGGGGAAGAAAGGGGGAGGGGAGGAGGAGGAGCGCGCGGCGGCGCCGCCAGACCACCTCTCCCCCACCTCGGGCGCAGCCCCTGACCGTGCGACCGGGAGCAGCCGGAGCGCGGCGGCGGCGGCGGCACGAGCCCCCTCCCGCCTCCGAGGCAGGCGAGCCCGCCGGGAGAAGGAGAGGCAGGGAAGTGCCTATATGTCTGTGTGTGTTTGTGAAAAAGGGGGCGGCTGTGGGGCGGGTGCGAGTGTGCTGGTGTTCGTGGACGGGTGAGGGAAAGGAAAGCAGGACCGCACACTGCACGGGAACCCCTTCTTCTGCCCAGTGTCCCCCTCTCCTTCTTCCTCTCCGCGGGCAAACAGACACGCACACAGAATTTGAGCTCTCTGCCTAGACCCCCCAACCCTCAGTCTTGTCGCTTCTTCCCCAGGAGCTTGTGCTGGCACACACATCCTTCCCGACCACCCTATTCCCTTCCCCTATCACTCACTGTCGTCTTGAACCCAAAGTGCAGCAGGCGGTCCCTGCTCGGAGCCATTTTCCTCTTTCTGGATGTCTCTAGATTAGGGCAGAGCTGCCGCTGCCGCCGTCGCCTCTGCTGTTGCCGCCGCCGCTTCCCACGTCCCGGTAGATTGCATTACGGGGTGCTGCAGGGAGGCCTGGGGGGCAGCTTCGGGACGTGTGTCTCCCCGTGCATGGCTTGGGAGGGCAGGGACTAATTGCGTTGAGGGGCAGGCCGAGCGCTCCGCTCTGGTCTGGGGATCGCAGCGAGGCCGCACCTCGGGCCTTGGGGGTCAGGGGGTGCAGTGGTGGAGCCGGGTATCCATTCCTGTCGCTGGGGAGGGGCGCGGGTTGGTGGGGGTGGGGGCGGGCGAAGAAGAAGGGCCTTTGGCTTCCCCCGCTCCTCCGCTGCTCGACCGCCTCGGGCGCCCAATGGGCTGTAGTGCCCGCCCGCCCTCCAATCAGGGCGCTGGTTGGTGAGAACCTGATCCTGACGCCACTTTGGCGGGAGAAACAAGCGTGTGTGAGCGAGTAGGCGGGGGCGTTTGCCCAGTGAAACTATGACTTTCATCTGACTCTCCGGCTCCTTGTATAGAAGCTGGTGTGTCATCATACTATTATGATCGAATTTCTATGAATTAAAGAATAATCCAGAGGAGAGTTGCCCCTTGTAAGGGCGACAAACTACACAATCACGTCCCAAACATGAAATATAAACTGTATCATAAATTCCAGCGAACCTGACTGAAGCAGACGTACTAATTGTATGCTTCCAAAGCAGTTATGAGTTTGTCTTCACACCCCTTTTAATTAGTAGTTTTAAGTGACTGGCTTGTTATGAATCTAAGAAATGAATTTAAGGGCAAACAAGCACTGCGGATCTTTAAAAACAGGCATATTTTAGCGGGAAGGTTTGTTATCAAACTAAGAACTTTATAACTTTTTCATTTTTACTCTAGAGGGGCTTCATAAGTAAGGAAACTAGTTTTAGAAAACTCATTCTCAGGCCCACAAACCCAGGTCTAGATGTTATATTCTCCTTTTATCCCTGATACTATTAATGATTTTGTTTTACCTCAGTGGAATAAGCCTTTTTAGTTTGGTATCATCTAAGAGCTGTTTTTTCCCAGCAAAAGCTACTGATGAGTTTGGTGAGTTTAGAAAAACTGGCAAACACAGGTAAATCAAACATAATGAATAAACTGTTTCACAGGTCTATCAATTATCCATTCCAGTGGACCCATTTCAAGTAGTTCTCAGGGAAGACATTTACTTTTTGACCGATTTCTTTTTTAACTGGATTTTTGAAATGCTGAACAAATGAAGATTATTCAAAGATTAAAAATTTATTACACATAGGCATATTACTTTTTATCAAAGAAGTTTATTTGCATGTAAATAAACAGGTTTTTTAATGTTTCAGGGAAAAAAATCCCACAACAGATTTTGTCTACTTTCAAAAAAATGAAAAACCCCAAAGTATTTACAGAACGGCCATATGCACAGAAAATCAAATTTGAAAATTTTCTTTTTTAAAAAAGACCCTCCCCAACTGCTCCTGATGTACATGTTTAAAGTCAAAATTTAAAGTTCAGCTCCTATAGCTGAGCATGTTTCCCAACCTAGCTTCTGAGATGCTAAGTTCTTCCTGCCCCCCTCTAAAAAACTCAAGGATAGAAACAAATGTAGCGGGGGGAAAGACAGGGAAAAAAAAGAAAATGAGATTGCCTAAGGTTTATGAATGTTTCCTATATTGACATCTGCTTTAAGTGACTCAATTGTGGATACTGTATGATTCACTGGCTCCCTGAAAGGGTTTCTTCTGAGAATTCATGATATTACTGTACTAAATTTTCAGACCTAGGCCTGAAGAAGGAAAATCATTTCAAGAGTCACCAACCTCCAACTTGGGTTTGGCAATTATATCCTGCTTCATATCCCCTCCCCCCCAAAATACTTGTTTTAAGACATTGATTTTGAATCTGAAATCTTTATGTACATCAGAGCAGGTTTTGACCAAGTACCCCTAACGTGAAGCCAAAAGACAGGAGGGGAATCAGGTTAAACTAAGAATACATAAGACACCAGCAGAAGGTAGTAGAAGTTGACTTCATGTCCTTGCCGTCTTTTGAAACAGGAGAATGAGTACACCTAGACAGGAGGGAGGTGTCCCAGGCTTGGATTATTCTGCTTCTTCTCCTCCACCCTGTGGAGAAATGCAGTGCTCCCTGGTTCTCAGGCAGGGTGAAGCAGTTTAGCCCCGGCTCCCTGTTAAGCAAGTTCAGATGCTGGGTCAGTGTGTGGGGTGTGCCCATCGACAATTCAGGGGCTTATCCTTCATCCAGATCCTAACTCGGATTCTTTGATCTGGGATGAAGACAGAAAGAGAGAAAAAGCTTCCCAGTTTACTCATTTTGGTATTTGTCGGCTCTGCTTGGGGGAGCTGAGCCCCTGATACTATGCAGTACAATCCCCTTAAGATTTTTCCCACCCGGAACAAACTTAAAAACAATGTAACTTTTTTTCCTGCAGAAACCATTGGGATAGGATTCAAAACTAGGTGACAAACTTGTGAGAAATCCAACCTGGTTGTATGTCTGAGAGGCTGCTACTGTATCAGCATCACAAGATAAAGCACTCTGGTATCACCTTGCCCACGTCCTCCTTAGTGTCACCCAAGACATTTGACTCTGATACGGTAACCGATAACTTTTCTTGCTCCACTTTGCAATGTTTCGTTTCCTACTTCTTATTACCTTGGGACACAAAAGTGGCAGAGTTGTTGAGAGCTGATGACCAGAAAAGGGAGAACACTAAAGGAAATGAGAGACAGTCAGGAAAGAAAGCCAAAACTGATCTTCCAACTCTATGCTACCTCCAACCTGCAGAAAGAGCTGAATATAGAAATCTTCCGTATCCTGATGAAGACACTCCACTTACGACATACACACACATACAGAGGAATCACCTGGCTTTTTTTTTTTTTTTTAATCCAGAAGAGTTGTGCTGGGGACTATGCCCCATCCCGCTGATATAGTTCCTGAATGGAATCATCAGGAATGGCACAGTGCAGGTGTCAAAATCAAAGTAAGGCCGCAGAATTTTGAGAGGACCTTCCAAATACTGAGAACTTCTGTTGCACTCAAAACGGTCTCCTGGATTTCTATATTTATGAGAAGGGCTTCTTATTGATGTCCCCCAGAATCCAGACTCAGACCTGTTTCTCCAAAAAGGTCCAATTGTGTTGCTACATAGTAGCAAGGGTTTATCTTCATGCTCACATAGCATTCTGGGCCCCCATTACTTCAAGTGAGCTTGAAATTGTTTTAAGTGAACTATGGCTGCAAATTTTTTACTGTTTTATCTCTGGGAGCATACAGTGGAGTGATTAAAGTGTGGACTCCTCGTGATGAAGAGTAACAAAGAGCCCAGCTCTAAGGAATGGCATCAGTTCTCCTGCAAACAAAATGCTGGGATGTGGATTTTTGGCACATTGTGGAAATAGGAGAACTATTAATTCTGTAATGGTTTTCATGCTACTGGGTCAGGAAGGCTGTCCCATATTAAACCTTACTGCATCTGAAAACATGTTTACATCCCAAAAAGCCACTCTAGCTTTTTTTAAAAAGAAAAAGAGATTACACAACAGTACCTCCACAGGGAGGTAATTCCTAATGTTCCTATGATATCTGAACCCTAAGAAAAACCTCCTAAAATAAAAAATATCATTTGGGTTTTTCTATTTCACTCCAAAAGCAGGCTCTGACTAATCTGCTTGGGCTTGGTACTATAGTATCAGCACAAGCTACAAGCTCCTAACACCAAATAAGCCTTGCTCTTCTGCCTCCCAACATTTTGAACCCTAAACTCAGAAAGAAACACTATAAAAACAAACAGAGGGTTAAAACATTACAAATAAATAGCTAAAATAATCTGCCCTCCCCCAATCACTCCTAAGAAACAGACACCAAACATTACTTAAGTGTCCAAAATGACCAAAGTCCTTCATTTGCCCATGTCTCAAATGGACAACTACCCAAACAAAGGTGAACAACCTTCATGCAAATGCATCAAGGAATGTATTGCTTTTTCATTTTCTGCCCAGCCCTTCATATACATGCACTA